ATGGTAGTTCACCCCCCAGTACTTGGGAAACTGAGTCAGGAGGATCACTTTGAGTTTGAAGTCAGTCTGGATTATATATAAGTTCTAAATCAACCTAGACTATGGAGTAATACTATGTATCAAATTGACAAAAGTAAAAATTGTTCATTTATATGGATTTGTTGTTTGTTTTTTCAAGATTGGGTTTCTCTGTGTAGCTCTGGCTGTCCCAGAACTCACTCTGTAGACCAGACTGGCCTTGGACTCAAGAGAGTCACCTGCCTCTGCCTCCCAATTGTTCTATTTTTTTGGTTTTTTCAAGACAGGGTTTCTCTGAATTGTTTTGGAGGCTGTCCTGGAAATGGCTCTGTAGACCAGGCTGGTCTCGAACTCACAGAGATCCACCTGCCTCTGCCTCCCGAGTGCTGGGATTAAAGGTGTGTGCCACCAACGCCCGGCTGGAATAATTAATTCTTAAAATGGGTTTTTGAAGCAAGTACTGATTGAATTCATGGATATTTGGCAATGCAGAATATACCTGTATGTATATATAGGAAATTGCTGAATGGGACAGAAAAAGACTGAGAGGCACACATTTTCATAGCCTTCATTTCTTTATTATTTTTTACAATTACGTGTGTGTGTGTGTGTGTGTGTGTGTGTGTGTGTGTGTGTGTGTGTGTGTACAGAAGCAGCAGCAGCCATAGCTGCTGGAGGTCAGAGGATAACTTGCAGGAATCGGCTCTCTCCATCCACCAAGTGGGTCCCCAGGATTGAACTCGGGTTATCAGACTTTGGGGTGGGGGATGTGCTGTTGTTTTGAGATAAAGTCTCTATACATAGACCTGGCAGTCCTGGAACTCAACTGTGTAGAGTGCTGGGATTAAAGGCTCCCGTTGTCTGGCTTTTCATCAAGTGTTTTCACCATTGAGCCAACTTGCTATCCCTCCTCCTTTGTCAAAGTTCAAAGCAAAAACTATCAAAGTTATAGTGCATCCTTTGTTAGTTGTTCTTCAATTGCAACTTCATTGCAACCATTTTAAATGAGATTAGTCACAGTGCATGGTTTTTGTAATCATAGTTCAGTGGCTATTAAAATACATCATTTTCTGTGTGTGCACAGAACTGGTGTGGTATGACTTTCCTCAGAGTTAGGAAGTTCTTTTTAGGAAATTATATCCTCATGATTATAAATAAAATAAACTTGAAATTGACTTGCCACATGAGGACAGGAAGTGAACTGGATACAAAATATATGTATATACATATGAGTTTATAATACTTAATATATACACACAAATATATAAGTTTGTTTTGTTTTTTTGTTTTTTTGTTTTTTTGTTTTGGTTTTCCGAGACAGGGTTTCTCTGTAGCTTTGGAGGCTGTCCTGGAACTCACTTTGTAGACTAGGCTGGCCTCGAACTCACAGAGATCCGCCTGCCTCTGCCTCCCGAGTGCTGGGATTAAAGGCGTGCGCCACCAACGCCCGGCCAAATATATAAGTTTGTAATGTTTAATTATTGCTAACAGTTAGTTATTGAACTAAAGTGCTCAAGTGTATTAGTTTATTCAGTACTCAAACAGCCTCTGAAGGAAATGATGGAGAAAACTAAGGATAATAAATGAAACTCAAAGCCGGGCGTTGGTGGCACACGCCTTTAATCCCAGCACTCGGGAGGCAGAGGCAGGCAGATCTCTGTAAATTTGAGACCAGCCTGGACTACCAAGGGAGTTCCAGGACAGCCTCCAAAGCCACAGAGAAACCCTGTCTCGAAAAAAAAACCAAAAAATAAAAAAATAAATGAAACTCAAATTTGAACCCAGGACTCTTCTTAACTGTTATATGATGTCATGCATTCAAATTTTTCCAAAGTACCTAAGTTTGATGATATAATACCAGCCACACAGGAGACTAAGCAGGAAGATATCTGTTTGTTAAATTTTATTTTTTATATTTTATGTGTGGTTGCTCTGCATGTATACCTACATGCCAGAAGAGGGCATCAGATCCTATTATAGAGAGCTGTGAGCCACCATGTAGGTGCTGGGAATTGAACTCTTAACCTCTGAGCCATCTCTCCAGCCCTAAGATTCTTAAGATATCTCTCAAAATGTGGTGTTGGTGGCTCATGCCTTTAATTCTAGCACTCGGGAAGCAGAGGCAGGCGAATCTCTGTAAGTTCGAGGCCAACCTGGTCTACAGAGTGAGTTCCAGGACAACCTCCAAAGCAATACAGAGAAACCCTGTATACAGTGTTCAGCCTGCATGTATGTCTGCACACTAGAAGAGGGCAGATGTTGTTATAGATGGTTGTGAACCACCATGTGGGTGCTGGGAATTGAACTCAGGACCTCTGGAAGAGCAGCCAGTGCTCTTAACCTCTAAGCCATTTCTCCAACCCCGACTATTAGCAGTTTTTAATCTCATGAGATCCTACAAAGTTGATGACCTTTTTATGACTGGAAAAACTGAATCTCAGAGAAATTACTGTTTTGTCCTTGATCACTTAAGTTTTATTAGTAAGATACTTCCTTATTCTTTCTGAGAGTTCTGTTTTGATTAGCTAGAGAAATGATCAAAAATTCTGTGTGAGACAATGGAAAACTAGATGCTATGAATCATAGTCTGTACTCCTCGCTGGGTAAGTTGAGGCAGGAAGATTGCCAAGTTTTATGATCAGCCTGGGCTACATAGTGAGATTCTGTCTTTAAAAACCCATAATCCTCGGTATACATTTCACCCTTTACATACTGATTTCCAGATCTGCTGAGGAACTGCCTCCTTTGGAAATGCTGAGAAGCCCTGTTAGGCTAGCATGTGAAAAAGAGACAAAAGATTGTTTTTAGAAACTAAAACATATGGAGTTATTAACTTAGGTGGATCTTTTTCTAGTTAATCCAATATTTATTTAAGTTTTTGCATTAATACATTGGCTTCTGTTAAAAATTGTACTTATTTCCCACATGATTTTGTTTTTCAAAAAATTGACTATAATGACTTTTGTAGTTAACAGCCTCCCCCCAGAAAAACTAGTAATTTCCGAATAGTGCTATTTAACATAGAATTTTGAGCTAAAGTGTTTATCACACTAAAACATATTTTAAGATTTATTTTATTGTTTTATTTATTAGACAGTTTGTGTAGTCCTGGGTGGCCTCAAACTCACTGTGTAGACCAAGCTGTCCTGGAACTCAAGATCTCTACTGGCCTCTGCCTCTCAAGTTTTGGGATTAAAGACATGCACCACCATGTCCAGCTTTATTATTTCTTTAAATTATGTGTGTTTCTGTGGTGGTGGGGGGGGACTATGTGCAGATGCTTGCAGAAGCCAAAAGCATCACATCCCCCTGGATCTGGAACTACAGGTAATTGTAAGCAATGATTCTTAACAACTCAGCCATTTTTCCAGACCCCAGTCTAAAACATTGTAAGTTACTCGTTTAGAATATAGTCGAATCCTTCCAGCTTTCAGATGGGAAAACCCCACCATGTCTTCAGCCAATTTACTCTGAAATCACTTAAAGCTTTTTAATTTTTACGGGGCTGGAGAGATAACTCAATGGTTAAGAACATTGGCTGCTATTCCCAAGGACCCCAGTTCAATTCCTAGCATCTACAAGGGACTCACAACTGTTTCTAACTTCAGTTCTAGGGGACATGGCACCCACTTCTGGTGTCCAAGAGCACCAGACATACATGATGCATAGATAGATATACATGCAGGCAAATACCCATACATGAAATAATAAAAAATGAAAAGAAATTTTTTTGTTTTGTTTTTTCGAGACAGGGTTTCTCTGTATTGTTTTGGAGGCTGTCCTAGAACTCTGTAGACCAGGCTGGCCTCAAACTCACAGAGATCTGCCTGCCTCTGCCTCCCGAGTGCTGGGATTAAAGGCGTGTGCTACCAACATCCCGGTGATAATCTTAAACTCCTAATTGTGATGTTTCTACCTCTCAAGTGTAGCAGAGACATAATAAGCATCTAGTTCATCAATTAGAACTTTGGGTTGCTCTTTTTTTCCCTTAAAATTTATTTTCACCTTATTTGCATTGGTATTTTACCTGTATATATGTTTGTGTGAAGGTGTCAGATCTTGGAGTTACAGACAGTTGTTAGCTGCCTTTTGGGTGCTGAGAATTGAACCTGGGTTCTTTGGAAGAAAAGTCAGTGCTTCCAACCACTGAACCATCTCTCCAGCCTCTGTGTTGCTCTTTTTTTCCCCCCTTTGGTTTTTTGAGACAGGGTTTCTCTGTATTGTTTTGGAGGCTGTCCTGCTGTCCTGGAATGCACTCTGTAGACCAGGCTGGTCTCAAATTCACAGAGACCTGACTGCCTCTGCCTCCTGAGTGCTGGGATTAAAGGCGTGTGCCACCAATGCCCGGCTCTGTGTTGCTCTTTTTACAGCAATGGAATAAATAATCTCATAATAATAATAATTTTTCTTCTTCTTCTTCTTCTTCTTCTTCCTCCTCCTCCTCCTCCTCCTCTTCCTTCTCTTCTTCCTCCTCCTCTCAAAATTCTATTTCTTTGTTTTGCTTTCTGTTTTGAAACTGTTCCTTGTTGCCCAAGTTTTCTTTTTTTTTATTTTATTTTATGTGCATTGGTATGAAGGTGTCATATTCCTTGGAACTAGAGTTACAGACAGTTGTTAGCTGCCATGTAGGTGCTGAGAATTGAACCCAGGTTCTCTGGAAGAGCAGCTAGTGCTCTAAACCACTGAGCCATCTCTCCAACCCACCTCCGAATTCTTCTTACATTATTATGTTAATATATTTACTTTTTAGTAGTAATGAATTTCCCTCGTGGCTCTCCATTACAAGTAAGTGTATCTGGGGTAGGACTGTAACTAAGGGATACAGCATTTGCCTAGCTTGCACAAGGCCCTACATTCTATTCCTTACACTACACAGACACCCAAAAATATACATCTTAGTAACAGGTGTAGGTAGATGGGGTTGCTTTTAACACATATGCTTAGTGTTAAATAATAGTCATTATTTTCTTCTTCTGACATAGGTAGAAGAGTCAGCAATGATGGGAGTAAGCGGCTATGTGGAATATCTTCGAGAACAAGAAGTATCTGAGCGGTGGTTCCGGTATAATCCCCGTCTCACTTGCATCTACTGTGCCAAATCTTTCAACCAAAAAGGAAGTCTGGACCGACACATGCGCCTGCATATGGGAATCACACCATTTGTCTGCCGAATGTGTGGGAAAAAGTATACCCGGAAAGATCAGCTGGAATACCATATCCGCAAGCACACAGGCAACAAGCCCTTTCACTGTCATGTTTGTGGCAAAAGTTTCCCCTTCCAGGCCATCTTGAATCAGCACTTTCGAAAAAACCACCCTGGCTGTATTATACCCCTAGAAGGGCCTCATAGCATTTCTCCTGAAACAACTGTCACATCTCGGCAAGCTGAAGAAGGGTCACCTACGCAGGAAGAAACAGTTGTTCCTGGGGAATCTGCCCAGGGCTCAGTGTCTACTACTGGGCCAGATTGAAACATTGAGGGGGAGGGGGCAGACCCTCTTCCCCTTTTGGGCTGTAACCAGCCCATATCAGGACCATGGGCTGGTACTTCAATTCACAAAATGCCACATTACTCAACTAGAAGATGTTCCCATGGTGTTGCCAAATTAGAGGGTCAACATGCAGCAAGCACTAAAGGCTCTTCTCTTTCCCACCTCACACTTTGGAAAATAATCAAGCAAATCAGCTTCTAATTCAGGGATCAACAGCCTTGGTTTGTTAACTTTATAAGAAAAAATGTTTTTAACAAAACTGATCAGTAAATGGTCATTTATCTACCAGTCATGATTGAACATTGTACTTAGGTCCATATCATCTTGGTGGATGAAATCCTAGATCTTTAAAAAAAAAAGTGCAACGGGAGCTTTGGCCAACTGAAGCAGCCTATCAGAAGTGGGAAATGTAGTCACAATGGTGAGAAAGGGGAATCTTTCCTTCCTGTTCCCTGCCAGAGCATGCATTTCCATATTTTAAGAAAAAGAAATGAATACTGGTGGTTCTTACTATTCTAAAAGGTTAGACTGTCATTGCCCTGGGGAGGCATCTACTACTTTGTCTGGTTGTTTCATGTGATTGGCTGCCTTGAAGCAGTAGTCTAGTGAGCAGCATCACCTGAAGCATGTTAGACAGGTAAAGGGAGCAGCCGAGCATTTACAGTGAGCACTTCTACATGTGGGAGCTTGAGAAGGGGTAGAAGAGGGGAGGAAGTGTTTATGCTTTGCAGCCTTCTGATTGGTATTTGTAAACCATAACACTTGTGTACATTCTTGGGTGTTAAAAAAAATGTTTCTAGTTACATGAGTTATCCTGTTAGGCTGACTACCAAAATGTCATCCTTTACAGCTCCTAGTTTCATATAACAGCAATATTGTACATCAAAAATGTCACCTTCCAGTGAAAAGATCCTGGATTGTATTTTTAAATCCATGAGTCTCCACATTTGATAACTTTTATATGAAGTTTTTAAACAATTTTTTTCCTGCAATATTGTAGTTGAAGAAAGATTCAACACCGTTGTTCTTATTGCAACCACAATTTCATTTCCTTCTACGTGTTTTGTATTTTATATTTTCAGTCCAATGAAGAACCTCACTTAAATCTATGTCTTGGATTTTCAAATCTATATATAATTCATAAACCAATTTTTTTTAAATAATACACTACAGGGCACTTCACTTACAAGAAACTATCTTGCACAACCGTGTTGCAATAAATGATCAAGGGATCAATTTTTATCAGGTATGGTTATATAATCATTCCTAAGATTTTTGAAACTTCAAGGGACTTTTTTAGTGATTTTGAGTTTTTCCGAGATTGTTAATCCAGCTCTGAATTTACCAAACACATAGAGCTTTACATGCCCTGTCTTGCATGCAGAGAAAGGAGTAGGAATGCTAAACAATACAGGCAAAAAGATGCCTGAAGTCTACAGTGCAAACAGATGTCTCTAGCTTCTCTTGAGTGATTTTTTTTTAAAGAATGTTTAAATGTGTAATGGTTTAAGTAATTGTTTTGGTACAGGAATGTGGATGATTCTAAGAGATTTCGGAGAGGGGCTAGTCCTGCCTGCCCCTAGTGAGCCATTTATGAGAATGTGAAGTTTGTGCTCCTTATGAGCACCTTGTGGTATGGAAAGGTGGGGAAAAATACACTTTTGATGATAAGAAACTGGAATGCAAAGGGTAGCTTTAAGCAATCTGAGAATTGTATATATTGTATCACTAGAGAAAGTTTTTCTCTTTTGAAAAAGTATAGAAATTCATCTTTTAAAGGAGTTTTATGGTGCTCCAATGGAAGAGCCTGCCCTAAAAAGCAGCACTGGAGAGTGTGTCTTATCTTTGATAATCACAGGCAGGCTTCTTGCAACTTAGTTGGGCAACAGCATGATAGAGTGAAAACTATAGTAGAGGTTACTATGTTCTGTGGCATAGAAACAAGTGACATTCTTGGGAAACATTCTGGCTTTCGGTAGACAGATTCTGTCTTTACTGAACAGACAGGTAGCTGGCAAGTACAGAAGATGCTGCTTTAGATGGATTTTTTTTTTAATGCAACCGAAAGTATTTTAAGTCTACCCTTCTTTTGAAAAGTTAAGTTGTATGCTGAAAAGTTGTTTTTTGCATTGTTAGCTTTCTAGGTCAAATGTGAGAAAATAGAGCTTTTAACTATTACCAAATTATAAAGTTCAAGTGCAGTAATTTCTGTAAAGAGAAACTTCGGAGCCCTTATCAGCACTGCATCCAAGGTCAGCCACCAATATCTTGAATGGGGTAGAGACTGTTGTCATGTGGAGATGATAGGCATGGCGGGTTCTCTTCTGTTTTCACTCATTTCTAACAGGTTTTTACTGAATTGATACTGTGAATAGAGTGCTTCTGGTCCTATGACCACATCAGCACAATGTCTTTGCTGGTCTCTCCTCTAATTGGCCTAGCCAGAGCCATGAAATTCATGAGACTTCTAGCCAGGCTACCTTTGAAGCAAATTAAAGTTTTCAAAGATAATCATCTGTTTTAGTAGAAGTAATACCATTCTAAACATCCAGGATTCATATCCAGATTCACTGTGACATTGTCCTATTCTTTGCTAGCATCACTGTAGGGTCATAAGGGTTAGTAGTATACTATCTATGTTAATGAGTATTGGTGTATACAAGAAGTATGCTCATTAAGAGTGTACTAAATGAACTTGAGCTGATACTGAAACTTACTGCCAAATCTTTACTTGCACACGTCACCTTGTGAGGGGAACTGCATTAGCAGTAAGAGCTAAATCAGTAGGTAACTTAATGCCATGAAAGTGCAGTATCAGAAACTGTTATCATTGAGTGGCACTTAGCAGAGGAAGTATCCAATATTGTCATTGAAAACAGAGAGTTGGCCACATGAGTATCTATTTTCAATCTAACTAGACTTTTTACTCTCTCTGAATTCTGATACTGATATAAACTGTGGCATTCACATGGCAGTAACATTGTATTTACTCAGAAAGGCTCTTCCTAATGAATTCTTCTCTTTTTACTCAGAACCATAATTACCTCTAAACTAAGTTTTATTTTATGTAAATTCCAAACAACTCCATAGTTTGAGAGGGTTTGTTTTGTTTTTGATATTTGAGACAAGGTCTTTGCTATGTAGCCCCTTGCTGTCCTCGTCCTCACTATATAGCTCAGCAGGGCCTTGAACTCATAGGAATCCTTCTGCCTCAACCTCATAAGAACTGAGATTACAGGCATGTACCACCACACCTGGCCCCCATTCCACTTTTTTTTACTAAGGAACTAAATCTAATCTGGACTACATAAAACTGAATTAGTTTGTAAAGACAAAGAAGAAAGCAAGCAGTTAAAAGTTTTTTTGTATTTTTGCATTTTTCTGTTTCTAGTTCCCTTGACATCAGTGAAACAAAGATGGTATGAAAGTAAACATAGATTGTCCCTGCTTCTTCATTGTGGAAATCCAGCTTCATTTGGAATTGTCTGGTGAAAGAGTGATGTTTGGAACTTCATTTTTAATAGCTGAGTAGTCCTTTGCCAAGAAATAGTTTTTACACAGTCTCACTACTAGCTCACACTAGTTTTTCTTTTAACTGGTGTAATTACTTTTTGTTTGATAAGAAGGTCTAATATAAAGAAACAGAAGCAGTGGAAAATGGAAAATGAAAGAAAGACTTTTCCTTTTCTTTATGGTTTTTCAAGACAGGGTTTCTCTGTGTAGTCCTAGCTGCCTTGGAACTGGCTCTGTAAACCAGACTGGCCTCAAATTCAGAGATCTGCCTGCCTCTGCTGGGACTAAAGGTGTTTGCGATCACTGCCTGGCAAGGAAAGACTTCTTTTTTTTTTTTTTTTTTTTTTTTTTTTTTCGAGACAGGGTTTCTCTGTGGCTTTGGAGGCTGTCCTGGAACTCACTTTGTAGACCAGGCTGACCACGAACTCACAGAGATCCGCCTGCTTCTGCCTCCCAAGTGCTGGGATTAAAGGCTTGTGCCACCAACGCCCGGCTAAGGAAAGTTAATCAGAATGATCTGCACTCCTATATGTAAGCAGGCATAATTTGTTTTTCTCTTCCAAATATGCCGTTTTTTTTTATTTGCACACTTATTTATTCAAGCAATATTGAATGAGCAGTCTTTATTGAGCAATCTTTGGGAAGGGAGCTTTTTCATAAGGCCACAATGGAAAAGAACTTACAATACTAAAATATTTTCATAACTGAGTTAGGAAAGAACAGCAAGCTATTGCCAGGTAATTCACTGACTTTGAGAGTAACCCTAGGGCTATGAGTTAGATCAGGGTTCAGCAAACCATAGCTCTTTATGATTTTTTGCCACCTCCTTAGTTATTGTTTATGGTTTCTTTGTACTATAACGATAAAGTTGAGTATATGGCCAACAAAACCTAAAAATACTGTGTCTGGAAGGTATCAAAGTTTGCCATCTTCTGGCTTACTTCCAGAAGGTTAACTCCAAATGATTTTGCCTTTAGCATAGTGTGATAGAGACTTAAAGAAGAGTGTGTCATCTTCTTCTAGATCCCCATAAACCCTCTTGGTTTTTCTTCTGCTTGATTCCCATTCCAAAAAGGACAATTATAATGGGATATGAGCCAAAAAGAAGCAGGGTTATTATTTGCCTTTGCCCAAAAGGTATAAGTAGATTAAATTTAGAATAGTAGTTGTTTATAGCAAGGTAGCGCTTACAAGAAAAATTCCACTTGCGACAGGGTGGTGTTAAATGGGTACCCTGTTCAAAAGTTCATGCTTTTGTAAGTTTTGCCATTTCTATTCTTGCTTAAACTTATTTGCATAATACTAACATAAATGAATTTAACCCCCTAGAATTAAAGAGAAATTTCTGTTATGGATAGTTATTACTGGTTGTGATGACTTTTGCCTGTATCCTAGCCCTTAGGAAGGAAGGTAAAGATAAGGCTCAGGAGTTCAGAGTTATCTTTGGCTACATAAGACTCTGTTTCAAAACAAAACAAAACAAAAGGTGTTTTGATTCTTATCAGATGTACTGTTTTTCTAGATTAGACCCCTATGCTTTTCCCTTCATTTAAACTTCTTAAGTAAATTTACTCTGTCCACATCTTTAGGATGTTTTAAAGCATAGTAAAACATCGTGATTTCAGATATTTCTTAGACCTATTCTTGCGTATCTGCTATTGTCTAGCTTGTTAAAATACACGTTGGACCATTACATATTTGCTTTGTAAACATTCATTCTTAGTGTTATATAAGGTGTGGAGAAATGTGAAATGTTAAATGTGTTCATAGAAACCTTTGCAAGAGGAGAATATGGTTTCTCCCCATTTGGAAGTAATACATGGGCTTTAGAGTTTCACTTGTGCTAGGCTGTGGTACTGCAGTACAGTGAGTTTGATTTGTTTTTATAAATTCTGTCATCACAGATCAAGGTGGGATGAGTCACTAGTCTCCACATAAGACAGATCTTTGGTTCAGTTTGTTTTAGTTTTGTTTTTTGTTTTGTGACAGGGTCTCACTATATAACTCTGGCTGGTCTAGAACTCCATATGTAGGTCAGACTGGTCTGGAACTCACAGCTATCTGTCTGCCTCTGCCTCCTAAGTGCTGGGACTTATTTGGCCGCCCCAACTGACCATCTCTTTGTTCTTAAAGTTGCCTTCTAATGAGATATTACTTTGTTTTATGTGAAACAGCACTGAAGAATAGATAATCCTCATTGTAAAATTTCAAAATATTCATCTACATTAAATCTGCTTTGTCTCAGAGCACATTACACTTAGTCATATTAGGATTTCTGAATGCTCTGGGACCTGTTACTTGAGAGAGAACTTGGCTGCAGATAACTGAATGATCCAGCTTTGCTCTGTTCCAGGTCTTGTTAATAGATGTCATTTAAGTAGGAGTTGATAAGAGAGCATTGGCGTTTGCCCAGCATTATGACTAATCCTCAGTGTTTTTGCTTCTCTGCTTTCCAACGTTCTTCCTGGTCTTCAGAGCAGGATTTTTAAATGCTGCTTTTCCCCAGCTGGTGTTTTCACTTAGATAGTAAGTGGACTTCCTCAGGACAGGCCAAAGTTGAATAGTATGAGTATGTTAGAACACCTGAGCTTGTTACAGTACAAAGAAAGTAATTGTTGCTAGTGAGAGTAACCTCAAACCCTTAGAGATGTCTGTACAGATCATCCTTTCTGTTGTGGTAGAAGGCCATCTTTTCTCAAATGGCACACAGCAATGCTAGGAAGACACATAATTACCTGGAATCCACATTATTTTTACAGAGGGTATAAAATATTTTTTATAAATAATTTCTAATCTCACATCCTTTCCTTTATATATCAGAAATCCTTGTTCTTAACACAGTTAAAAGAACCCCAGTAGCTCAACTAGTGGAAGCTTTAAATAGCAAAGCTAACTTACAAATGCAGAACACAGTGTGTGTATGTGGGGGGTGCTTTTCTAATGCTTGTTATTTGTGTCTACTCAGTAGGTTCTATGGAGGAATCTCAAACGTACACCCAGTTAAGATAGTCTTCTATTGAGCATCCCATATGACCAACACCATAATTGAACACCATGAAGCTTAGCATGTGAATTAGTCCATAATGCCAGAAGTTAAAGTGTCTCATGGAGACATATGCAGTTACTTATCTTCACTGGTAGGTAATATACAGGAAACTATGTTCATTAAATAAATGTTTAATACTTTTTGGTACCAAACAATGTGGTTGGAATCTGTAAAACAAAGCCAGCTTTAGTTAGTTATAGCTTTCCATTCTTCTGGAGTTTTTGTTTTATTTTTGGTTTTTTGAGAGACAGAGTCTTTCTAGGTAGCCCTGGCTGTCCTAGAATATGCCAGACTGGCCTTAACCTCATAGAGATCTGCTGCCTCTGCCTCCTGAGTGTTGGGGCTAAAGGTGTACTCCACCATGCCAAGCAAAGCTTCCCATTCTTGAGAGTCCCACACCTACTTTTTGGGAGTCCAAGACACGATATTTTAGAGATCTTGTACTTCTTACTATAGAGAGAGAAATTCTAAAGATGCACTTACCTATACCATGTGTTCTACTAGCATAACTGCAATTATGTCAAAATATTCCTGAGGTCATAAGAGTAATAATAAAAACGGTCAACTTTTTTGAGTGTTTATATACCAGACACAGTTGTATGAATTTATCTAATCCTTGTCAGTCTGTTGTAATTATTGTTACCTTCATTTTAGAGAGAAGGACATACCTTGTCTGTACATAAGCAGTCTAACACCAGATTCTCTGGATAGCCTCCAGTGCCCTTAGTGAGTGTAATTATGGCACATTTTATAGACGAGGGTACATAACTTGACAGCTTGTATTTACCAATCCAATTCCAAAGTCCAGACTACCTCTACTACATCACATTTACTTTCTGTACAGTATCTAGTAATGTTCCTACTTTTAGTGAACTTGTAATCAAGAGTAGAGGCTGGAGAAATGGTTAAGAGCACTGGCTGTTCTTCCTGAGGACTTACATTTGGCTTCCTTGCGCCAACATGACACAACTGTCTGTTATTCCAGTCCCAGGGGAGCCAAAACCCCCTTCTGACCTCTTCAGGTACTAGGCATGCACATTGTACAAAGACATAACATGCAGACAAAACACCCATAGACATATAAATAAGTAAAATTTAATATAACCCAAGAGTAAGTTGTTAGCATATTTCTTCAAAGGACCATTGAGTAGGAACATTGCCCACTTATTCAAACGAATTGCCCATTTGGTATGTCTAATTTTGAGTAGAGTGAGTTACTGTTTAAAAATAAAACTGTTTTCTGGTTATCTGTTGCTGTGTAACAAAGTATCCTAAAGTTTAACTGGCTTAACAACCATTTTATAAATCTTGACTTTGAAGGGGCAGGTGGTTGAACTAGTCTGGAAAGTCCAAGATTATGTCATGTATGCTTGCTGTAGGGAGACCTGAAAAGCTGGGCTTTAGCCTTTCCATTGAAGGATTTTTTTTTTCAAGACAGGGTTTCTCTGTGTAGCCCTGGCTATCCTGGAACTCACTCTGTAGACCAGGCTGGGCTTGAACTCAGAGATCTACCTGCCTCAGCCTCCCAGGTACTGGCATTAAAGGTGTGCACCACCTCCACCTGGCAGGTAGTTGGGCTTCTTATTTTGGCAGCTCAGGCCAATCAAAGCTGGGCAAAAAGATCTGGTCTTCTTAAAGGCCAGACCAACAATCATCATGAGATCACTGCCGTACTTTAGTCAGTGGTGAGCCCAGACCTTAGGAAGAGGAAATACCCTAACACTTTATGAAAAACAAGAGATTTGAGACCATGTTTAACTGTTTACAGGTAACATTAGATTTTTTTTTTAAGTTTGAAAGTATGAAGTTTGATTTTTATTTTTTTTATTTAAATTTAAATTAGAAACAAGGTTGCTTCACATGCCAATTCCAGGTCCCTCTCCCTTTCTCTCCCCTCCTCCCACGCCCTCCCACCAACCCCTCCAATATCCCCTCATTTCCCCAGGGAGGGTGAGGCCCTCCATGGGGGTGTCCATAGTCTGTCATTTCATCCAGGGCAGGGCCTGGACCCTCCCAACATTAGGTTTTTAATAACCTTTCATGGTCAGTTATTAGTGCCATTGAAGCCATTTATTACATCTACTCTGGGGCAGTTAATGATCTAGGAGAATGAGACAAATACTTGAGACTCATTTTATTAGTTACTGCCTTTCCTTGAGTTCCTTTTAAAGCAGTCATTCCTTTTCCACTTTGTACTGTGATCCAGGTTTCGAACCTTCACTGTAGTTGCTGTGAAACCATGATAGCTATACCGGCTGAGCCAAAAATGCTCCCTAGGAAGTAAAAAGCTCACCG